GCCTCTCGGAGACAGCGTACCAGCACAAAGGAAAGAGGAAAAAGTGCACGAAAACAAATCAAGATGCCATAATTCAGTGACAGCGGCAGTGTCCAATGTCGAACTACATCGCAAGCCCTGACCGAAGTCGAAAAGAAGCGACATTTCCAAGCAGAGTCCCAGTCCACTGCATCACACCTTTTTGCTCGGACGCGCTCGTTTCACCGCCCAACCTTTATCCGCCCTGGGCTAGTAGATGGGTGATCCCTCTACCGCGAAAACTTTTTCCATATAAACGGGGTCTAATTATTGCACCTTTTTAAGTTTTTAAGGTATAACTACATCGCTTTCCCTTGCACACAACGTTTGACTACAGACATAATAATGAACACTGCCGTTGCTTGCTGTCCTCATAGTCACTAAACACTTATTAACCAGATGAATCACAAGGAAATGATGTCATATGCATTAGCAACAAGCACAAATTGTGTTTCACACTTTCACAGAGGTTGGATGATAATTGGGTAAATTTAGGGCATTAAGCCTTTTTTGATATTTATTACTGTTGTTTGAAGGTTGAAGTTGTGCAACAGGTTATCAACAGTGTCATGTTACTACTGGAGCTTGACAAGAGAATTCAACGAGGAGAGAATATTCAAGATTTGCTGCCTTAGACTTGAAAGCGATTTAGCTTCAGGATGGTCCTCTACAACTGTAGCAATTTTTCTCCTTTTTTACTCCCTATATTAAAGTTCTTCTAAAACAATATCATGCCTGTTTTTTTGTCTTGCTTGACGAGGATTCTCTTTACGATCCGGAGGATTCTTTTGATTGTGCGCGAAAGGAAACTTGTTAGCTGGCCTGAAAGCAAGCTCTCCATTTGGGAGATGTCCAGCTTTGTACCCAGGGTCTTCTGCTGCCGCCATATATATTGATTACGAGAAGACCCTGGGGACGAGGTTGAGAGGAATCGTTTAAAGTCACACTCGAGCAGTACGCGAAAGGGAACGCAAGGTTTAGGCGTTCTCTCACGGTTCGCTTTGCTCGCCCGTTTCGAAATCGAGGGCTTGCTCGAAGGAGAAATCACTAGACTGAAGTCATAATGGCCGATGCATCCCCTCTCTTACATGTGGTGCTAAAACCCGCCGAAATTTAATTTACTAAGCGAAACGAAAATAGAGCCTAATCTCAGGTAATGTTACTGTAGATCTGCCTTGCAGGAAACCATAATAATAATAATAATGATAATAATAATAATAAATAATAATAATTTTATTCAACTTAAAAATATGTACATAATTCACAGAAATATCCGAAGTAAGAATCAAGCAATATATAACATTAAGAGTTACATAAATCATAAAAATACAATCACTGTGTCAATAACGATTTCCCAATTACATTCCTTGCTGCTCAGATGCGATCAATAACTCTTGCAGGCGGTCCAGAGTTTTAAATTAAGTCACTACAAAAGAGAATCATCTATCTCTGATATTAAAAAGAAACAAGTTAAAAAGAATAAAAACTCGTATTCCTAAATTTCTAATTCTTTAAAAAAAGTTCTTTAAAAAAATTAATTAATTGATTCGGGCAGGCTCTAATATTTTCGATCTGTAGATCTGAGTCAACAAAGTCTAGCTGTCGTCTTCTGGATCTTGAGCCTCTCAAACAGAGTATTGCAGAGAGTACGATGGCGAAAGATACTTTAGCTCTTATCCAGGAAATTGCGCTTGAGTAACTCTCTCTCTTCTTATTTACGATCAGCTCCGCAAGTCTGCTGTGGTACTTAACACACTCCTCCACCATTTTAATAATAATAATAATAATAATAATAATAATAATAATAATAATAATAATAGTAATAATAAGACCTATTACTATAAAAAGTGGCATATTCCAAGGAGATCCCTTGTCACCACTCCTATGTTTCATGGCTCTTACACCTTTGAGCCCACTTCAGTTCTGCAAGAAAGTGGTTGCGGATATGAAATCCAGGGTCAAAATTCAACCACCTTTTCTTCCTGGATGATTTGAAAACCTATTCCAAAGATGACAACCAACGGCCTAACTTGCTTACTGTTGCTAAGAAATTTAGCGATGACATCCGAATGGAATTTGGATTAGAAAAGAGTGCAAAAGCAGCTTTTAAAAGAGGGAAGCTTAAGGAAACATCAGACCTACAGCTTGACACTGACACATGCATCAGAGAACTAGAGCAAGAGGGGGTCTACAAGTACCTTGGAATAAATGAAAGCGACGGAAAACAGCATGCCGCTATGAAAGAGAAAGTGAGGAAAGAATACTACCGCAGAGTAAGACTAGTACTGAAAAGTGAACTGACCCCCGCTGCCAACAGGTTTGAAGCCATCATGATCAGTACCCTAACTGTGGCCGTCGTCACCTACAGTTTCAATATTATAAACTGGAAAATGAGTGAGCTTAAGAGGCTGGACAGAAAAACACGGAAGCTACTTACCATCCGCAGAATGCACCACCCGAAGGCAGACGTGAACAGAATGTACCTCCCCAGGAGAATTAATTGGAGGAAGAGGCCTGACCAAGTTAGAAACTGCGTACAAATCAACTACGATGGGGCTGGAAACATATCTGAGAAACACTGATGATGCTCTGTTCCAATTAGTACTCCAACATGAGACCAAAAAGAAGCTTTACGCCATCCAAAAAGAGGCAGAGAAATTCAGAAGAGAATTTGAGGTACCAAACCTCGATAGGGCAACAAATGAACGAGTTACTAAGTTTGCTAGGAGGGTAAAACAGAGGGTAAAGCAACAGGCCCAAGATATAGAAGTGAAGCAGTGGGAAGAAAGAGAACTACGAATATACACGGAAGATACCCCAAAAGAAAAAGGGAAGCAGATGTTGACCACTATAAAACCAACCAGTGGCTCAGAAGTACGGGACTGAAAGCTGAGACAGAGGGACTAGTGATAATTGCAGCCAAGGGCCAGAGCCTCCCTGCCAAGTCTTGTTTTGCAAGGATTGTGAAGGACGACACCATTCCACTGTACCGGATATGCCACAAGCACGAAGAAACAGTAGATCACATCATATCTGGCTGTCCCCGAACTTGCAAAAACTGACTCAGTATCTAGAGAGGCAAAATAAGGCGGCTGCATATATCCATTGCAAGGCGTGCCAGCATTACAGTATTGAAGTCCCACAGAGGTGGTATGAACACAAGCCCGAGACGGTTACCGAAAACGAAGAAGTCACAATTCTTTGGGATATGCAGATACATACGGATAGGAAACTGTCCGCGAACAAACCTGATAAAGTGATCAAGGACCATGCCAACCGGTGTTGCAAACATATAGATGTATCGGTACCATCCGACGGAAACACCTAGACGAAAGTCGTTGAAAAGCTCTCAAAATACAAAGATCTTGAGATTGAAACCACGAGAATGAGGGAAATGAGAACAGAGACTGTGCTGGTTATTGTTGGTGCGCGGGCCTTTTTAGAGAGGGGATGGACCAGAATTTAGGAAAGATCCCTGGAGACAGTAACATTAATGAACTGCAAAAGATCATCCTCCTAGGAACGGCGCACAT